ATGCTAATTCCTGTTCCACTCAGGAATGTGGTCCAAATAATGAAAGGGGCAACAGTTTGTAACTAGGATTAAGGATAGAAGAGGGATGAACCAGCTGTTTTTTTTTTAAGTGCCGTGAGAGGACTTGTGTTGTGCTACATAAATTAACTGAACTGTAAAAAAAATTATAAATTGAATCAAACTGCTCATTATAAAAAAAACAATCTGCTCAAAAAGGACTCAGACCACTTAGAGACAATCTGGATCAATCAAGTGAGAGGTGGGTCCCCTGGAGGGGGCTCAGTGGAACTGCTTTGAAATTTGTCACAGTAAAATAAACAGCTAAACTTAACTTAAAGGCTATATTTTCTTTTTTACTTAAACGAGAATGTAGTTTTCTTTCAATGCAATCTGTGATACTGACATGGGCGTAGGTTTGCACAGGGACCATAGAGACATGTCCCTACCAAAATTTTGGACCGACCTACTTGTGCCTAGCAATAACTGGATGTGACCAACATCTTTATTATTTCCAATCCAGCGTTGATGCAGCAGTGGCGTCTTTTCCTCTTGCAGCTCCTCTGCCTGGTAGCTGCAGCTGCCTGCTGTTTCCTTCCTTTCACATAGCAGCGCATGGAACTGAGCTGTTTAAGTCCACTCTCTCATTTTCCTGCCTTAAGTTCCACCTTCTCTCTTTCTGATTGCTTGTTTTCTAGTCTGTATGTGTGCTCGTGCGTGCTTGGAGCCTGAAATACAAAAAACATTACGCTAGAATACGGCGGTTACCAAAATTAGGCTACGAAACTAGTCCTAACCCTTTTCTAGATTTCCACACGGTCCATTAGTAAATTAGTACAAACATTAATGTCTGGTCAATAATGCTTGAATCTGGCTGCTTATTTTGGATACTATTACATTAAAAATAAGATATTGTTATATTGTCTTTTAGGGATGCACGATACTGGGATTTTGGCCGATATCCGATATGCCGATATTTTAAAACTCACATAGCCGATAACCGATATCGATACCGATGTTAAAGCTGGACAAAAATAAGTAGTCATTGAAAATAGCACTTTTGTTATCCATTTCTGACACTTTGAAAAATAATATACTCAAATATATTTTCATATGCTGATATCAAATTGATTTTTAAAACGCGGTATAGATCTATTTTACTTTCAAAATCTCGTGAAATTTCATCGTTCTGTTACAAACTCTCGTGATATTTTGCAAATTCTTGTGAGATTTTGTTAGTAAAATAGATCGATACCGCGTCAATATATCAACATATAAAAATATGGCAACATTTGGTGAATTTTCGGGGGATTTCGTAGCATAACGATGTCATATAGCAATATTTGATCAGTAAAAGAGATTGATATGGTGTTTTTAAATGGCAATATACACTCACTGGCCACTTTATCAGGTACAGCTGTCCAACTGCTCGTTAACACTTAATTTCTAAGCAGCCAATCACATGGCAGCAACTCAGTGCATTTAGGCATGTAAACATGGTCAAGACAATCTCCTGCAGTTTAAGGCAGATGGGCTACAGCAGCAGAAGACCACACCGGGTGCCACTCCTTTCAGCTAAGAACAGGAAACTGAGGCTACAATTTGCACAAGCTCATGGAAATTGGACAATAGAAGATTGGAAAAACGTTGCCTGGTCTGATGAGTCTCGATTTCTGCTGCGACATTCGGATGGTAGGGTCAGAATTTGGCGTCTACAACATGAAAGCATGGATCCATCCTGCCTTGTATCAACGGTTCAGGCTGGTGGTGGTGGTGTCATGGTGTGGGGAATATTTTCTTGGCACTCTTTGGGCCCCTTGGTACCAATTGAGCATCGTTGCAACGCCACAGCCTACCTGAGTATTGTTGCTGACCATGTCCATCCCTTTATGACCACAATGTACCCAACTTCTGATGCCTACTTTCAGCAGGATAATGCGCCATGTCATAAAGCTGGAATCATCTCAGACTGGTTTCTTGAACATGACAATGAGTTCACTGTACTCAAATGGCCTCCACAGTCACCAGATCTCAATCCAATAGAGCATCTTTGGGATGTGGTGGAACGGGAGATTCACATCATGGATGTGCAGCCGACAAATCTGCGGCAACTGTGTGATGCCATCATGTCAATATGGACCAAACTCCCTGAGGAATGCTTCCAGCACCTTGTTGAATCTATGCCACCAAGAATTGAGGCAGTTCTGAAGGCAAAAGGGGGTCCAACCCGTTACCAGCATGGGGTACCTAATAAAGTGGCCGGTGAGTGTAAGTTACGGCTATATTTATCTGGGTCAGTAGGAACATTTCCAAATAAGGAGGGAAAAATTAAAGAAAATCTGTTTAACAAGGAAAATATACACAGATTCATCTGTCATAAAAGTTAAATCTATAGTCCATCATTTAAAAGCAAAGTGAGTCTAAATTTACAGAGTATTTATTTACATTTCTTACATTAGTCAAAACCAAATGATATTCCAGTTATGGCTATTTTTATAAAACGATCTGATTTCTCAAACTGAAGGATTTCCTTCTGTTTGATGTAGCGACCTTGAGAAATGAGCGTCTGAGTAAAGAAGAGCAAACTGCAGCGCTGTGATGGTTCCTGGCCTGAAGGCGCTGATGTCCCGCTCTGGATTACAGCCGTTTGCTCGGGACTCGCCTGACAACAGGACATTTGCAAACATCTGTTACATATATTATCTATAAACAAGTTCATCAATCATGCATTTGTCAGCTGATTTTTTTTCATTACTGATGACGATCAGCAGCAAAGGCCATTATTGTTTACCGAAGAGCTTCGAGAATAAATGAATAAAAAGATAAAAAGTATTTATAATTCCTAAATTACCTTTGACTCATTCTTGTTTAGCTTGTGGTGTTCTAGTACAAACAAAACAGACCTTTCATTTTGAAATTAGTTAAAAGAAAAAAGCTCTATAAAAACAATGAATGTTGTTAACTCTTCCTGCTTTATTCCTTAAAAGCCCAGCCAACAAATTTAATCGTTTCTGGGGAATAAAAAACATCACAATCAGGGGCAAAAGTGTGTTTTTATTTATGCAAAGGAAGATCTGCTTGTGAAATGGTTAGACCAAAACATGCTGTGCTGAAACAGTTCCTAAAAGATGAATCATACACACAGTTAGAGGAAAGTTTAGATTAATAGAAGAGCTTCTGGTTTTCAGAACAGATCATTCAAACGTTCGCTTTGCAGGAACCTTTTTCATCAAGTGATAAAAAGACGTTAAACAGTTTACCACATCTGAATAACTTTTGCTTTGAATCATTTGCTGAACATGTTATTAGAATTTTCTCAGTCTTGCTGATGGTTTAGTGACCTGAAATATTTTATAATGTGTTAATTCAATTCTATTCAGTTTATTTCTATAGCTCCAATTCCCATCATGTCATCTCAGGTCACTTTCCAGTTCACCAGATCATCCAGTCAGATTGATTCAAAGTTTTCTATCTAAGGAAAACCAGCTGATTGCATCGACTCATTGACTCTTCAGCAATCCCTCACACTAAGCATGCTTGTAGCGACAGTGGAGAGGAAAAACTCCCTTTTAACAGGAAAAAACCTCCAGCAGAACTAGGCTCAGTGTGAGCGGCCATCTGCTGAGGCCCACTGGGGTTCAAGGAGACAGAAGCAGACATAGAAAAAGAAGCATAGATACAAAAGGCAACTGTCAACCAGCTCCACAGGCGGCCCCGTCCAGGAAACACACAGCCAGGCAGACGAGCTCCGAGCCAGCTCCCATGTCAGAGGATGAAGAGAGCACATCCAGTTAGTCACAGTCAGAGAAACAGGACTACACTGGAAAACAGGCCAAGCTCCAACATCTAGAAACAAAGGTGTTGATGGCAGCAGCACAGCTGATATTTCTCTCCAGGATGGAGTCACAGCCAAACAGGAACAGACCAGATGAAGCTACTATGAGAAAAAGCAGAGAGAGCAGAACGTTAGAGATTGAACTAACAGATTCTGCAGAGTGGGAGAATAGCGATAGAATGAAGCAGAATGATGAAAAAGGGGTCCCTATGTCCTCCAGCAGTCTAAGCCTATAGCAGCAGAACTATAGAGATAGATCAGGATAACCTGAGCCACTCTAACTAGAAGCTTTATCAAAAAGGAAAGTTTTAAGCCTAGCCTTAAAAGTAGACAGGGTGTCTGCCTCACGGACTAAAACTGTGATTGAAGCTTGTAGCGAGCAGAAGATGAGGTGGAACATTGTACTCAGACTCTGAGCTGTGATCTATAAATGTCAAATGGTGAGCGTGTGCAAGGTTTTATAAATCAGATTCTCTGTTGACCTTTCGGCAAACTTACGCTTATAGTATGGATCCGACATAATGTTTTATAAATGAGACCCCTGAGCTGTTTGCGTTATGCTAAGAGCTGGTGGTAATTGTCTCACAGGGGAGGGAGAAGGAAAAACAGCAACATGCTCGCTGCTACATGGTTAGCTTTGCAAAAACAAGGCAGGGTTTCTCACTGCACACTGACCTTTAATTTAATAATTGGCTTACAGGATATAACTCCAAAAGCTTTTTTATATTCATACATAATTAAAAGCAAGTTAACTGAACATGTACCTAATGATAATTTTATAATCAGATGCATATTTGACCTTAATCAGGTTTTATTAATCAATTTAAGGAATGCATGATTCTGATATATTTTACAGCTGCAGCCAGTGATGCTTTTTTGTTGATATTTAGGACCAATTTATACTGAAGCAAACAAACAGCATGCAGGCAATGTGAAGTGAAAATCTTTGGCGACAAAGAGGGCGGGTGATACGTAATGCAGAATGCAACGAGGAGAGGCTGAGGGAACAAGCAGAAAAGACAAGGAGCAACATGGATGACAGGAACAAACGGACAATGTTCCACACTGAAGCCCAGATAATAATCCACAGAAACACTTAGTGAGCAAAAAAAAATCCCTCCAGGTGCAGCTTCTTTTACTCCTCCTCTCTGTGGCTTTATCCTTTCAGGTAAAGGGGACCTGATTGGTTCAGACTCCCTGACCAAGGAGCAGGTGATCAAGACCAATGCCAACGTCAAAGCCCTGACCTACTGTGACCTGCAGTACATCAGCCTGAAGGGGCTCAGGGAGGTCCTCCGGCTCTACCCGGAATACGCCCAGAAGTTCATCAGCGAGATACAGCATGACCTCACGTACAACCTGCGCGAGGGTCACGGGGCGGACGTAAGTACATCATCCACCCATACGGCACAATGCAACACAGGGATCTCTGAACTCACCAAAATGGTTCTGTATTGTTTGTGGAAAGATCGGTCCAAATGAATCTGAACAAACGGGACTAAATTCATTTCTATTCAGTTTATTTCTATAGCTCCAATTCACATCATATCATCTCAGGTCACTTTCCAGTTCACCAGATCATCCAGTCAGATTGATTCAAAGTTTTCTATCTAAGGAAAACCAGCTGATTGCATCGACTCATTGACTCTTCAGCAATCCCTCACACTAAGCATGCTTGTAGTGACAGTGGAGAGGAAAAACTCCCTCTGAACAGGAAGAAACCTCCAGCAGAACCAGGCTCAGTGTGAGCGGCCATCTGCTGAGGCCCACTGGGGTTCAAGGAGACAGAAGCAGACATAGAAAAAGAAGCATAGATACAAAAGGCAACTGTCAACCAGCTCCACAGGCGGCCCCGTCCAGGAAACACACAGCCAGGCAGACGAGCTCCGAGCCAGCTCCCATGCCAGAGGATGAAGAGAGCACATCCAGTTAGTCACAGTCAGAGAAACAGGACTACACTGGAAAACAGGCCAAGCTCCAACATCTAGAAACAAAGGTGTTTATGGCAGCAGCACAGCTGATATTTCTCTCCAGGATGGAGTCACAGCCAAACAGGAACAGACCAGATGAAACTACTGTGAGAAAAAGCAGAGAGAGCAGAACGTTAGAGATTGAACTAACAGATTCTGCAGAGTGGGAGAATAGAGATAGAATGAAGCAGAATGATGAAATGGGGGTCCCTATGTCCTCCAGCAGTCTAAGCCTATAGCAGCAGAACTATAGAGATAGCTCAGGATAACCTGAGCCACTCTAACTAGAAGCTTTATCAAAAAGGAAAGTTTTAAGCCTAGCCTTAAAAGTAGACAGGGTGTCTGCCTCACGGACTAAAACTGGTAGTTGGTTCCACAGGAGAGGAGCCTGAGAACTAACAGATCTGCCTCCCATTCTACTGTTCCATTGATGCCATGAGACCCAATTACAGCTCACTGGATTGTTAGATGCAGCATTTCAAGTATGTTCAGCATCACGAAATCCCGGAATAAAATCTTATCTCACAATGCACATCAGTTGCATGTGGCATTCTTTGGACAGGGAATATGGGTTTAATGTGGCATCAGCATATAAAAAAACTGAGGTGGGCTCTAACTAGTGATGTGATGCGGATAATGATGGATCACAGAATCAGAGGACAACAAACAGAGTCGCTGCTTTCAACAGAGACAAGGCGACAGCCCTATAGGAAATGATCCAATATAATGTGCTGATTCAGAGAGATGCTAGTGTTAAGAGGGTCCGCTGGATAAGAGCTGTGTCTGACCCCCTCCCCCATATCAGTCTCTGGCTTCCTGCATTTAAAAGCTCGGCATCAAACACACCGACTGAACTCTGTTCCTGCTGCAACAGCAGCAGACGGAGAAAAGCACAAAGATCAGAATAGATTAGCGCTGCCGTTTGAAGCTCTCCTGCTGCTAAAAATAGAGGAGGGGGGGGAAGCACGGGTTCTCCCTGACTGGCTCTCCCTCCTGAACTGCTGCTAAGATTGGATCCTGCTTGCTAAAAATAGAACAGCCAGTCATAGGGGAGAAAAGGAGAAAGTAGGGAAGGAGGAGAGGGGGGGCAGAACCTGTGCCATCTCATTTCCCTTTCTTATTCTCTCCCTCTCTGCTGCAGTGGAATCGTTTGGCTCTCCAGGGCGCTCCGCTTTTACTGCAGAGTGTGAGTGCATATCTTTGTGGATAACATCTAGACAGATGTGCAACCTGCTGCCTCCATATCAGGTCTGAGGCTGCACATGTCTTTCCTATGTATGCAAAAAGAAACAACTCTGCAATCGACCACCTGAGGGGGTCCTGCAGAGAAGCCTGCGGACGTCTAAGCTTGATTCATCCAAACACATCATGGGGGAACTATCCATCCATTTTCCATCACACTTATCCCTGATGGGGATGTGAGGGGTGCTGCTGCCTACCTCCAGCTGTCTCTGGGCGAGATGCGGGTCCACCCTGGACAGGCCGCCAGTCCATCGCAGGGCAACACAGAAACAAACAACCATTCAGGTGCACACTCACACCTAAGGAGTGTGGAGTTAGAAATCTGAGACAGAAGCTTTTCTTGCAAGAAAATATGTTTAAATTTATTTAACATCCTCAGACGGAGATTGAGCTCTGACTGAGGCAAAATCCCAACACACACACTCCCCCCAGGGGAACCAACCCACCCCCTGCATAAAGAACTTTCTCACACATTTAAAACAGCTTGAGTTCATCAAGTCTGTTCTTTGTTAGGCTAATATATCTTTCACTGGCCAGGTGGATCTTTTCAAAACAACAGTTCTCCCCTTCATGCCATGAAAGACGCTGTGAGGCTAAGAACAGACATAACTCAACATGTTTTACTCCACGGGAGAATTTAGAGAAGCCAATTAACCCAACAGTCATGTTTTTAGACTGTGGTAGGAAGCCAGAGTACCCGGAGAGAACCCACGTATGCACAGGGAGAACAGAAAGACCCCGGGCTGTGAATCGAACCCGGAACCTTCTTGCTGCAAGGCAGCAGTGCTACCCACTGTGCAGCCTGATGGGGGAACTAGGCTTTGGAAAGTAGTCAGTTAAATATTTGGTTTCAATCGATGTCTGAGAACGTGAGCTTTAACAACCATTCAGCTTCTGTCTTCCTCTGCTTCTCCGTCTCTGCATGAGGAGAGCACAGAGGCTCCAACCGCTGCACAGAAACAATGAAATATCACTTTCCCCCGCTTCACAACCGTGCGTGCATTTATCCTCACACACGTGCTTTGGCTTCTGATAAACATCCCAGCTCTGTCGCCCACAAACCTCAGCACACCCACACACGCGTTCACAGGAGAACAGAGCGCTTATCACACCCCCGCATCGCAGAAAGCTCCTTGGTTCCCCGCGGAGCTGGGAGCTAAAATTAGAAGCAGGGAGCTAAAAATAAAGGAGGCTGCCACAGAGGTGGAGGGGGGGGCAAAGACGAGGGAATGCTGAGGCGGCGCAGGGAGGGGAGAGAGGGAGAGTTGATTAAGAGAAGCGATGATGGGAGAGTAGATTTGAGAAATGGGGAAGCAGAGGGGCGTCGGCCTGAATGGTGCAGGCAGTGATCAAAGTGATTCACATCTCATCATTCAGGCGATCTGATGAAGTTTTGAGTGATTTCATTGTTTTATGGAGATACATCCATCATGCATTTTTACATTAACATGGATTTCTAGTTTTCTTTGAGGTCTGACCTGCTGATTCCAATTTGGACTGATTCCTCTGCTTTATTCCAAGATCTAAAATATTAAAAGAAAATAAATGTGCTGCAGGGTCCTTGATAAAGTAGTGTTCTCTACAGAAAGTGAAGGAATAGTGAGCCCATACTGCATAAAAGGTCCTTAATCTTGACATTTCCATAAAGTAGCCTCAACATTTAAAATGCTGCAGATTAATTCACCCAAAGCAGGAACTGTTTACTAGGAAACTGGAAAGGTATTTGGTTAAACAGAAGAAGACGACGTTTAACACAATAATTAAAAACCTACATGCATACAGGTTATTCAGTAGATTTAATAGCATGAGCAGCTGTCTACATGTGTTTAAAAGCAGTTGGCAGTTGTTCATCAGCAGGACACTAGTCTGCTTTAGAGACGTCACATGAAACTATCATTCTGCCCCCAGTCATCTCTGGAAGGACATCCTGGCAAATTCACCCCATAAATTTCATTAGGAAAAGACTGGATCATAATGTTTTTACTCTCTAAAAGCCATTTGGCAGCATAATCTATTTTTAGAAGGCTGCATCATAAAGAGGAAATGAAACCAAACTAAATTCATTCCCAAGATTGTGCCTCAATATTATCAATAATTATATTACAAATGTAAAAAATTGTCACAGTTGGGTGCAACTGAGGCAAAAAAAATCCAAGGCACAAAAATACTGAGAACCAAAAAACCAGCAAACATCAAGGAAAACACGTGGAGAGCCAGAGACGAGGAAGCAACTAACAACAACTGGAGAGGGGTTCAAGGAGACAGAAGCAGACATAGAAAAAGAAGCATAGATACAAAAGGCAACTGTCAACCAGCTCCACAGGCGGCCCCGTCCAGGAAACACACAGCCAGGCAGACGAGCTCCGAGCCAGCTCCCATGTCAGAGGATGAAGAGAGCACATCCAGTTAGTCACAGTCAGAGAAACAGGACTACACTGGAAAACAGGCCAAGCTCCAACATCTAGAAACAAAGGTGTTGATGGCAGCAGCACAGCTGATATGCTAGCAGCAAAGCTGCTTCTTGTTCTAGCAGAGCAGCAGCTCCTTCAGGAACACAGATCTAAGGTCTTGATTAGTTTCTCTGCAGGGAGGCTCAGGATGAAGAGTGGAAGCAGACCAAATGCTCTACTGCTACTAAAATCTGGTGTATTGCAGGAAGACATTGTTTCTGCAGCAGAAGAATTAACCTTTTCCCAGAGTCTCATTAAAAGCCAGTCAGATTTAAAAAAAAAACAATAACAGATATGCCTCTCCTACTTTTCTAAACATTTTGTGGCATCAAATTCTGATTGGTTTGTTCTTCCTCAGCTTGATTCTCTAAAACAGAAACCTTTCCAACACCCTCCACACTTTCACAACATTAGTTGTGGATTAGCCCTGGTCCTGTATTTTATGAAAAGTCTTGAAACAAACAGAACTCATCTCATCTTTTATTCTGTTTCAAACCACTTAGCAGATAAATGACATGACTGGGATGCGTTGAAATGTAGAAATGCAGCAAAAGGACCAGGATCAAACTCTTGTGTTTGTCTGACACCTACTGGTAGAACTACGACACTGCAGTTCATTTACCTACACTGAGCACTTATTGTCTTAAAGGGACATCTCTGTCCCCTCCTGTAACCTCAGCTAAAAACTCTGACCTTCCTGTTTCCCAGAAGGACTGGGAGAGTAACGGCGGCCTGGTGAAGAAGTTACCGTCCATCCGTGAGGATGAGGAGGGTGATGAGGAGCAGAGCTCCGTTTCCCGGGCTCCTCGCTCCCCGCTGCATCTCAGCAGGGGCCTCAGCTCGCCTCTGCGCTCCCCCCTCCTGACCCCGCGGCCTTTCCGGGCCCCCACAGAGCACCTGCGGCCCTCCACCTTGCAGATACCGGTGGTGAGCTTCAGCAGTGCGCCGCCAGAGCTCAGCCCCAGGTGAGACATGAACACAAGCATGTAAACACGCTACAGGTGCAAACAGCAGAAAGAGAAGCATTGTGGCTTCAGACACAAAAACAGAGACAGAGGAAGAGCTGCACAAGCTGCAGTGGACTCTGCAGCGCACTGTGTCTGGCTGCCATGGCAACCAGTAGATTACATAGCTGGTGGATCATATGGGACCTGGCTGCTCTGTGGAAGGATTATAATAGCCGAGCAGCTGATGTGGGGAGGTTGAAGAACAGAACGGGGCTTAAAGAAACCGCCCTCCACGCCGGAGCGACAATCATCTCTTTTGTTTCATTCTGTTTCTCCTGCAAAGATTTGTGGACGGCATCGAAACAGAGAGCAATTCCACCTCCTCGCAGAGGTTTGAGTTCAGCCCCAGTCTGTCACCTGCAGCCCCGCCCTCCCCGCTCGCAGGTAAAACACACCCACACCCTGAGGGGGGGGCATAGAGTTTCACATTGAGACATTTTCTAAGAGCTTGCACTGCAAAAACGATCTAGAAATGAGCATAAATGTCTTAAATTAAGTGTATTTACCATTAATTTGAGCAAGTTAATAAGATGATTAGATAATTAGATAAAATGCACTTGAAATAAGACAAGGCGACTGATTTTTCCTATTTTAAATGTAGATAGTCTTGTTCCATTGGCAAAGTGTTTCACTTATCTCCTCTGTTCAAAAATGACTCATTTAGATTTCAAATTTTTGCAGTAAAATGTTAAAGCGTTTATGTTCATGTTATCTGCAGGGATCCGCGAGCACTCTGAGATGAAGCAGAGCGTGACCAAGCTTACAGAGGAGGTAAGTGACGGAGTATCATAACTGCTGCATTTTCTCCACTGACTCAGATTCTTGTAACCTGACTCCGCCAGATGGATTTGCTCCGCATATCCATCTGGAAACCTTCCGTTGAAGTAATTTTGGGAAGGGGCGAAAATACTGGTTAGCTGATTGGCCTATGCTGGTGATAGACGGGCCAAATAAACCAATCAGATCAACGAAGCATATGACGTACTAACAGAGCGACGACGAAGAGGAGCCAATTGATAGATCAAACTCCTGAGAAAAGCCTCCAGAGCAGTGTTTTGCTCTTCTTTCATTGAAGAAATACTCTGTAATTCCGATAAAACTTGCTCGATAGCCACGCTAACGCTAGTTTCACCGGCTGAAGCCGCCATGTTCTTTAGACTGAACTGTCGCGCTTCTCGTTGCGTCACACATCAACCCGCCTCAAAGCCAACGCTGATTGGACGTTCGTTTGGTGAACGGCTCCAAATTTTCTTTAACGGAGAGTCTCCAGACTGATCTGCGAGTGAAACCTTGAAAGCTCGCGAGATCAGGATGGTCTCACGAGGCTAAGATTCTTGGCCCAGGATTCCCAATTGACAAATCTGAAAATGTTCTGTATTTATCCCATTGTACTGTGACAATTTGCAACTTTATGAAACTTTCTAAATCATATTTATCCAGCAATTCACTCTATACCCACCTAATGCATGTGGGTCATGAGAGCTGGTTCCTCTTTCAGTGGGTCCGCTCTGGTTACCAGTCTATGACACGGAAACGCAATCAGGCCTAAGACCTGTTTAGACGAGTTGGCGTCACGAATTGGTTAATGAGTGAGAGGACCCAAAAGCAGAGGCAGAGGTGAATCTGTTGTGGATTTAATAAAAAAAACTTGACAGAAAACAGAGGCTGGTTATCCAAAAATCCAAGGAAAACAAAACAAGAAACCAGAAGTCCAGAACTCCAAAAAAATCTAATAAACATGAAAACAAGTCTAACGTACCAGAAACCTTGGGGAAAATCAGGGGAATCACAAACAAGACGAGGTGGGCACAGAGAGAAGGAGTTGGAGCAAGCAGACGGTGTTTGACGAGGACCCAGCAAAGGGGAACTGAACAGAGAGGGCTTTTAAAGGAGACTGAGACAAAGAGGGGGCTAATGAGGGGATTGAAAACAGGTGAGGGCAGTGCAGAAAACAGAGCTAGTGAAAGAGGACACAAGGGGGCAGCAGAGGACAACAAATGGAAAGACTGGAAATAACAAAATGATAATCAAATAACGAGGATAATGAAACATGGTGAAAAGAAAACTAAACACTAGAAATCAAGGAGTAAGGAAAGACAGAATACTCAAATGAAAAACATAACAGAAACAGAAACCTACCGGTAACAGTTGGATGCTATTGGATTCAGGGAAGAAACCAGAGAGCCTTAAAAAAACCTGCATATCCAATCGGAGAACATGGTAATAGTGTTAATGTAGTGGGAAAAAAGTAAAAAAAAAAAATTGACTCCAGTAAAATAAACAGAGAACCATAGATTTTACTCAGTCAGCACTTTATTTTTATCTTCATACCCTCCATGTTGCACGGTAATCAGCCCTGTTCTAAACTGGGCGGCTTTCGTTCTTCCTTACTTACAAAAATTTAAAGTTGTCAGAGTTAAAACAAATTACTGACACTTTGGGTAAACAGTAACATGTCATGAATGAACCTTGAGAAAGAATGTGGTTTGTTATGTGAAGAAGCTCACGCAGGGGAATTGTGTGGCCTTGCAGTGGAAACAGGCTGAGTGAGTCAAAACTTTTATAGTGCGTGAATAGCATAGATTAATATATGAAATAAGGGAAACTAAATTATCGACCACAGATAACAAGTGCAGCAACATGAAGCCCTACTTCATGTACAGTCATTTCAAAAGGTTCAGTGCTGATTAATGCGATCCATTCTAAACCAGTCGAGGGATATGGTCAGTTACATGCCTTCACTGGATGGGACGGTGGTCTTGGAAACCAATAAACTGTAGATACCAACGTTCTTCAAATGCTGTCTACAGCTTTTCTACAAAACGTAACTTTCCATGAACTATAGCCACTTTGGAAACTGTGCCAAGATGGGTCTGAGCACAGTAACCGAGATAAAGGTTGAGTGTTAATGGCTTGCACAACTGAACCAGACTGCTCCAAACACAACTGAACCGCACTAACATGGTACTGGGTCATCAGCAGGGCTGCAATCAGCTGGTTTTGCTTAGATAGAAAACTTTGAATCAATCTAACTGGATGATCTGGTGAACTGGAAAGTGCCTTAAGATGACATATGTTGTGAATTGGTGCAATAGAAATAAACTTAATTGAATAGATTATTGAAAGACTGGATGAACCTTAATACTTTTAGTTTGTATACACCCTAAAGGGATAAAGTCAATTATACAAGGACAGGTCACATGATCGTCATTTGAGTCAAGAATCACCATATTCTGATCTTCAGCTACCACAGTACACATCAGATTACTCCCTTTTATCTCCTCTTTCTTTCATCTTGTCTCCTTTTTTCTGTTTTTCCTTTCCTGTTCTACTTACATTGCAGTAAGTAGAATAATCTGTAAAACTCCCTGCATGAATTATAATACAGCTATTTATAAGTATAAACCAAGCGGATCACTATGGCGATAGCCGTACTGCTACACTTGTGAAAGTAAAATCTGTTGGGCTCTTTTTGGCATCAAGACAGTCATTCTTATTGCCACATTGCCAGACAGGACACTGTAAAAAAAGAAAGAAACACTGGTTGGTTAGCTGTGTTTGGAAGTAACAATGGAGAACTGCTGATAGTGAGATAGTTCTTAATGCAGCGTTAGCGGTGGAAGACATCGTTTCCTCTTCTTTATTCAAAGAATGAAAATGGGTAATGGTTTGACCAGCATTCTGATAGGTGGGATAGGTGAGCCCGCTCTGATCCAATTCAAAGGATCCATGGCGGTCAGTAGGTAGAACCCATACAGTCATGTTCTGTTGGTCATGTAATGCCAACCAAGTCAGGTGACTATTTTTATGAAAGAGAGATAAAATAATGGAAGCACAAGTGTTAAAAACCAGGAGAACCATTCCGAAAAAGTTAAAATCAATCCACTGGACTTTGTTTCCAAGTTTGAAGACGTTTCTCTTCCATCCAGGAAGCTTTTTCAATTCAAAATGTCGGAAATAGGGTTTAGTTCCAGGTTTTATCCAGCAGCCCAACTGTTAGGTTTATTCAATGATGATTATAAAATTAATGTGTGCTTATGAAACATTTGTTCAAGGGGATGCTCCACTGTGTCTTGTTATTTAGTCAGGAGACCATCCTGCCTTGTCTGGTGAAGCATCCTGTCTTTATGAACTGATCAATTGTTCTGTCAGAACAGTTTTGTAACCATGTGTTTTGTTCTGTTAATAAAAGATGGCTGCAGGAGAGGATTCGGAGAAAGAAAGCTTGAAGTTGGGTTGGGCTTTTTCTTTCCGCTCCTGCAGAAGTTGCTTGAATCTCTTTCCTGTGTAGACTCAGTTTCTCTTTTACAAACCTACATTTTCTGAACCTTAGACCAACAAAGTCTGGTTTTTAGTTTAGAAAACATGCAAATAGAAACGGACGAACGGGTCCAACCCTTTGGAATGGGGGTCGCTTGGCTTCTTCTGTGCCTGCAATGCTCCATATCTCGGAGAAACTTAAAAACCACCTTAATCTGAGATGTATATTTCTGTCTAAAGGGACAAACATGTAAATAAACCAGGACTCCAACCCTAACCCTAACCATCCCTTGTTTTTTTACGCTTACCCAGCTTCTGGCGTATTCTCCTTAAAATGAAAACTTCAGACAAACAGGACTGATGGTTGTTTTGTTTTTTGACACCCCTGTTCGAGGATTGTCATGCTCTGATGTTTGTTGTTTCTCTTTATCGTCCAGATGAACTCGCTCTCCAAACAAGTGTCCAACCTCAGTCAGGAGCTGCGGGAAATGGCTCGCCTGCTTAAGCCCCTCCTCCAAGCGGCTCCGCAGCCAATCCTGACCAGCACGCTGTCCGGCCTCGCTCCGCCACAGAGCAGTGCCAGCCAGCTGCTGTCCACATCCTGGTTCACGGCGCCCCCCACGTCGACGCCTTACCCCCCCCAGAGAGCAGACACTCACTCCCTACTGGATAGTGGAGCCCCAGAAGTGGAGGGTTTGCCACGATGCCTTCTCCCAACTCATTCACCAAAAAAGCAGGATTCTCCTCCGTCGGCATCACCACAGCCTCCCCCCAGCCCCAAAGGGGGGAGCATGGAGGAAACACCATGCACGAACTTCCTCTTGTCTAAGGAAGAACCTGTGAGGGGATCCGTGGGGCCCTGCAGCCCCCCGGTGTCCCCCAGTAATGGGGTCCTCTTACCCCCACTGCAGGACCAGCCTCCCCTGCGTTCTAACACCCCTTCACCTTCACTCTCCCTGTCCGTCTCCCTCAACTCTTCGCCATCGCTGTCTCCTTGCCAGTCCCGACCCACCAGCTGTGGCAGCAGAGGCCTGCTCCCCCCACCCCCGTCTCAGGACACACCTCCTCCCGTATCCTCTCACCGCTCGGCTCCCTCCTCAGTCTCCTCCTCTCCTGGGGGTCACCGGCTGAGGCCTTCCTTTTCCATCCCCATCCCATCCGCTGTAGCTCCCCCCCATCCCTCCACCCTGTCCCTCCCCTCGTCTCTGAGCTTTGGGAGCGTAACAAAAGTAGACGTTCCCACTCCACCAAGGTGGAACCCACAGGGAAGCCAGGAGGAGGCCAGAGCCCCCGTGTTTTCCCAGGAGGTGGAGATGCAGGAGTGGAGGCGACAAACAGAGGAGGGGAAAAGCTCCACAGAGGAATTCAGTTTCATTGATGAAGAGGATCCTGTGTTATAAACAGGTTGACGCAGCGAAGAACAAAGCGACGGTGAGAACGAGGTCAGAGCAGGAAAGGTAGAATAGAAACAGATCAATCTGACAGGCAGGAGAACCCGAAGCACCGGGGAGTCAAACCCACAGCCTACTGATCATCAACGCGCTCAGCTCCCGACACACAGAGATCGTCTCCCTGCTGTTTGTTTCTAATCCCAGAATAGACATACCCGCCCCCAGAGGCGGGACAAACACTCATCCCCCAAAACCATGGGTCCCACTCAGCAGGCCAGGGCCTGGAATGTAAAAACACTCCAGTTTTTAGTTCCTAAAGGGAGGCATTCATCGGCCCCGGGGCCCATTAACCCATCCTGCCATCACAGCAGAAAGGCTTGGTTCTCTGTTGGTGTGGGGGGGTCGCCCTGTACTGTTGGGCTGCATGCCAAAGAGAAAAGCAAAAAGAAAGGAAGAAATTAGTTCCTAGATCCGCACACTTATCCCAAACGGTGCTTCTCAGCAAATTCAAATCCAAAACTGATTTATGTTACTCATTTAATATTGAAAATTCATAAATAAATTATTTCATATCTTTCAAGTCCCTCTTTCTGTTCTTTTAGAGGATTAACGCCTACAGCAAATAAAAACACAGATAACTGGAATGACATCAAAGCAATAGAAAATTATTTTAATTGAACGGCTGCATCATGGCGGCGTAGGATTGAGTTAAAAATCCGCTCATATTCAGAGTTCAAACTTCTGAAAGTTCTTTAAATATGAAATTATTCCATACCGTTAATTAAATGATAACAGTTTTTAATTTTCATGTGAATGTGCTTTACTGGAGGCATCCATGTTTGTCAAAGAACACTACTGCCACCTACTGGTTAGTGACGTCACGGTGCGGTATCGGCTGTTGATCAAGTCCCAGTGCTGTATCTGGTGTTTGTCACAACGCGCTATTATCCAAGTCATCTTGAAAACATTCTTCTTCCAAATGTTGGCTACATATTACGGGTTTTTTCTCTGGCCAGAAGTTCGATGGCAAATCCTCCCTCTTCAAGTTGGCGATCCAACGACCAACCCGTCCGTGGAGGATCAGGAATCAGAAAGGTGGAATAACTCTTTTTTTTCACTTTTACCCGATGTATTCCAGCATCCAGCTGCCATGCACGTGGGCATTGTCAGTTTCACTATAGCTCTGGTGAATTTCAATGGTGAAGTCCTCTGGAAATCTTCAATAATTGTTGTTGATTGCAGATGTGTCTAGTAGTTCCCATTGATTTAGCTTGGAAAGCAGGGAGAATGGCGCTAGGCTTACCGCACCGTGACGTCACTGCTGGAAGATTTTTACAAACTAACGCTAAATTCATTAATTCACTGCGAACGTATTAGTTTTAGCTATAAATAATGATCCATTGATTATTCCTTGCTGACTGAACTTTTCCTTTAACTCCCAGAGTTTCAGGGTTGATGGTTCAAATCCCTCCAGAGTTAAATTAACATCTTCAAAATAGTTAATTATTAAGTTTTTAACTTACATTTAAGAGTTAAACCAACACGGAATCACTTGAATAAATTAACTTTATTAGTTCATTACTTTAAGATGTCTACCTCAGAAGAAATTTGTGTTAATTATGATACAGAAAAAAACATTAAGAAGTAGAGCCGTTTTTAAGGATTGTGTTTTTCCAGCTGTGCTTCAAACATTAAACTGGTACAATGGAGAAACGTCCAAACCAGTGAACGAAAAACAAACCAGTGAAATTATTCAGTTATAAATTAATAGGTTTTGGTCATTTTTGTAACATCTAATTATTTCATTCTGTTGCTTTTACACCTCATTGTGGAAAATGCACAACAAAACTAAACAAATACGACAGCTTCCCCCTTTTTATTACCACAGATTTCTAAAATACTTTTATACTTTTTTAGAGAATGTCAGAGATTCCCTTCAACAAAAGCAAAATCAAACCTTTATCAATGAAAGTCAGGCTGCTCTTCATCCAGCGTTCACACACTGCTCTCCATATTTGAACAGGGTCAGCATGTTAGGAGAGCGTGGCTTAACATAGAACAACATAAAGTATAGGTCAAGTTTTTCTTCAAATAAGTGCATTTGTTCTAGAATTGAGGAGGAAAGTGAGACACTTTGCCAATGGAACACAAATGACATTTAAAATAAGAAAAAAACAATTGCATTGTCTTATTTCAAGTGCATCTTATCTAATTATCTTATTTTAGGAGTAAAAATACTCATTGCATTGTCGACCTCATTTACCTGCTCAAGTTACGGGTAAAAACACTGAATTTGACTTTTTGTACTTATTTCTAGATATTTTTTCCAGTGGATGTGAAGGTACCAGGACCCCTTAAAGATGGCGTCAGTGACATAGACATTAAATACGTAGACAGCTCATTGGACGCTGGCCGACGTGCCTAGAGGGCGGCCATCTTGGATCGGACCACAGTTCAGACAGCTGCTGTCAGAATGAACAGATCTCATTTTAATCACACGAGAGACAAGTCAGAGATAATATTACAATATTCTCTGATATTTCAACAATTAAAAGACCAAAACTAATTCCTAAAATATAAATATATATGACACACATTAACTTATAAAAGAACAATTGTTGACATCTGCATAAATAATGATAAAAGTGTTTTAGACAAAGGACAAAAAGACTTTAGTTAGACACAACATAAGTTTACCATTCATTACGATTTTAGAACAAAGTCAGAAAATTAAAAAAAATTAACATAACATTTATTAAAAAAAAAAAAATAATAACTTTACTCTTAATTTTCCTTTATAGATCATAATACTAAGTAACAAAGAGCATTCCTTAAAAATACTGAATAATAATAATAATATACTATATAAATATATATTTGTAAAACAATCTTATATCAAACTTTTTATCATATTAATATTTAATTGCTTAAAGGAATAGTACACCCAAACAATGATTAGCCTTCATTTTCTACTCACCCCCATGCTGAACAACACTCTGGAGTACTTTTTTGATATCTCAAATGCATCTGGAGATCTGGGAGGCTTCTTGCTGTCTGCTGACATTCAAATAATGGAGGTCTATGGCGCCCGAGGCAGAAGGGTCCATAAAAGTCCACAAAAAACGTGTCAATATTCCTCCATACTGCTCGTCCAATGTATTCCAAGTGTCCTGAGTGGGTAGCATCCAGAATTTACTCGAAACGAAGTCATTTAGAATGTTTTTAGAGCATAAACAGTAGTGTATAGGATTTCCTGAAAGCGCCCACATGCGCGTTCACGACGCTACGGAAGCCGGCAGACCAAACCAGATGAAAGTGCGCATTCAGCGTCTGCTCTGCCGATAATGAAAGCGTAGAAGAAGAAATGTGCTGTTTACCTGTGCAAAGAAAGAAACAACGAAAGAAAAATGTCTGAGGACTTCAGTGTTGAGGAAGAGCATGAGTTCTTTGCCGAGCTGAATGCGCACTTTCATCTGGTTTGGTCTGCCGCGGTTTCCGTAGACTCGTGAACGGGCTTTCAGGAAATCCTATACACTACTGTTTATGCTCTAAAAACATTCTAAATGACTTCGTTTCGAGTAAATTATGGACGCTACCCACTCAGGACACTTGGAATACATTGGACGAGCAGTATGGAGGAATATTGACACGTTTTTTGTGGACTTTTGTGGACCTTTCTGCCTCGGGCGCCATAGACCTCCATTATTTGAATGTCAGCAGACAGCAAGAAGCCTCCCAGATCTCCAGATGCATTTGAGATATCAAAAAAGTACTCCAGAGTGTTGTTCAGCATGGGGGTGAGTAGAAAATGAAGGCTAATCATGTTTTGGGTGTACTATTCCTTTAATATCTAGCTTTGCTTATATCTAATCCAGTTTAAGTTCAGTTTAAATAATTTGTAATCTGAATAAATCTGTGTAATCTAACTGAAAGATCATTTTATAATTAGTTTTGACATGGAAGAGATTATTTTAATATTATCTCATGTGATTATAATGAGATCTAAGGCCCTTCCTATTCATTCTGATAGCAGCTGCCTGAACTGTGGTCTGACCCAAGATGGCCGCCCTCTAGGCACGTCGTCCTGGCTGCCGACAGCGTCCAGTGATGGCGAGGGCAAGTGCCTTCCTGCAATCTTTCATCTTGAATCACACATTTTTTGTTTCCCTGAGAAAAGCGGCTCAGACTGTCATACGATAAAGTCCCGTGCTTCTGTCGTCCTAAAAAGACGCTCCTGTTTTGCACCTTTGTCTAGAACAATTTTTCCTTCCACTAAACTTTCTTTAATGTGCTCCGATGCAGTTTACTGCTAACAGCCAGCTCACTCAATAATTGGCCTGTTGTTGGTTACAGTCTTTTCAAAGATCTAAGGAGACATTTGTCAGAAACTGATTTTAAAATAAGTGTATTTGATCTTAATGTGAGCAGGTACTATCTTTGAAATAAGATATTTAGTAATGAGGCACTTGAAATACAATAATTAAAACATAATTCATCTTATTCTGTTGTCTTTCCTGCTCAGATCAAAGGAAAATATTTCTTTAAAAGTGAACTTACTTATATTTCCTTTCTTTGATCTTCTCTGATTTTGTGTAAACCATAGAAAAAAACACAATTAAGACATTTAGATTGTTCTTATATATTTTATTTTTTTTAAAACATAAATTTTGGTTTTTAAAAGCTGTAAGCCATAATGACCAAAATGTAGATACACCACACTAAATATACTAATAATTTTTTTCTGGAACTGATGAGGTAATTGAGACTCTGCCAGTAGAACAAGACAATTTACATTTCAAGAAAAAAAACGTTGCATTGTTTTATTTCGAGTGCATATCATCTAATTATCTAAATTTAAGAGTAAAAAGTCTCTTTTCTTTGGCAGATCATATAGTTACCTGCTCAAATGAAGACTAAATACACTTAATTTTAGACATTTTGACTTTTTTCTAGATATTTTTTGCAGTTATTTAAAACTAGTCTGTTCCTGAATTAATTGCTGAAATGATTAACTAAGCTTTTCATTGCTTCATTATTTGAAAACTTTATTTATTTAGCAGCTTTTAAGCCAGCTTGTTCAGATTGTACATCCTAATTTCCCCTGAGCTTTAGCCATCCCGCCATGCGTGCCTTCTCCACTCCGCCCCAGTCAGCC